TTGCCGGCGACATGCTGGCCAAGACGGTGCCAGTTGGCCAGCAGCGTCGGCTCGTCAACAGCCTCTGGCCCGGCCTCGACTCGGCGTCGGCGTCGGCGTCGGCGTCGGCTTCTCCGGGACTCGGACTCGTGTCCGGCGCTCCCGCCTGCCCCCCGACTCGACGCCACGACCGGGCGACGGCGACGTCAACGTCAACGGCGACGGCGACGGCGACGGCGACGTCGACAGTCTCGTTGGGCGGTCTGACGGGCGTGGGTCGGTTGCAATTGGGCGCGATCGGTGCGTCCGATCGGGCCGAGTCGCGTGATCCGGTCGAATGGATTCAGACGCCGACGACGCCAACGGCGACGGCGACGGCGACGGCGACGGCGACGGGTGCGCGTAGCAAAAGCGACAGCGGCGCCTTCTCGGCCAGTGACGAGGGCGGTGTCGGTGGTGGTGGGGCGGCGTTTTGTCGTCCGTTGCGGTTCAGCATCGGCGATCTGATCGAGGAGGAAAAGTGCGCCGGATCGGCGCTGTTCGCCGTCGACCAAGCCTCGCGATTGGTCCGCGTCGAGTGCCGCAAGCCGGGCTGCCGGTGCGTGCTCAAGCACCAATCGCTGCTCGCGCTCAAGGTCGTCTCTGGCGTCTCGCTGGTCCAAGCCGTCCGGTTGCCGGGCGACTCGGCCTCGGACCGTCTGCTCGGCCTGTTCGGCCTCGGGCCGGCCCCGTCGAGCCAATCAGACGCCGGTGCCAGTCCACCAATCATGCTCACCTCGTGTTGCCCTTTTTGGTTCGAGCTGGTGCACAAGACGCCCTCCGGCCCCAGCGACACGACGCCCTGCCACGGGCCCCCCCTCCCCGTGTGGACGTCGGCCAAGGCCGTCTGGAAGGCACGCCCCCCTCTCTTCCTCGTCCGCGCCCCCACCCGATGCTTCCTCTCCCGCGACTCCACCGGCCAAGCCCTCTTCGCCGCACGCTCCCGCTCCCGCACCCCCTCACGCCAGAACCGGCTTCAACCGCCCAACGACACCGTCGGCGTCGGCGTCGGCGTCGGCGTCGTCTCGCTTGACGCCGACGTTCCGCTCCGTCTCCGACCCGGCACCGTCTTGCGTCTCCTCGACTGCCGCATCTGCCGACTCTTCTCCGCCGCCACCGCCTCGCCGTCGTCGCCGTCGTCGCCGTTCACGTCGTCGTCGTCGTCTTGTGTTTCCGCTGCTTCCGGCGGCGCACGGACGCTGCCGATGCTGCACTGCAGCGTCGTCGGCGGACGCGCGCTCTCCAGCCTCGCCTCGGCGCACGTCTCCAACGGCGACGTCAACGGCGACGTCGACGGTGACGGTGACGTGTTCGGCTGGTTCGCGTTGACAGGCCCGCGGCCCGTCTTCCTGCCGCTTGACGACGCCTCGGTGGCGTTCAGTCCGGTCGCGCTCTCGTCCAGGCTGGCCGGCAACGGCGACGGCGACGCGGCCGACTGGGCGGGTGGTGGGGCGCACAGTCTCATCTCGTTGCTCACGCGTTACCGCCTCCCACTCACCGTCCGCCTCCTCCTCGACCCCACCCCCACGTCGACGTCGACGTCGACGTGTGATTGGCTGTCGGCGGCGCGACGTCCGGCGCCCTGTCTGCGCCTCTTCGAGTGCTTCCACGGCGACCTCGTCTTCCTCGAGCCGCTGTCCGACTGTCACGGCGACGGCGACGGCGACGGCGCGAGTCGCTTCTTCGTCGTCACGGCCGACATGCTGGCGCAGCACACGCTGCTGGTGGCCGAGGCGACATCGGCGCGCGGCCACCGGCGACGGTTGGAGCGACACGCGGCCCGCGTCGCCCACTTCCTCGCCGCCACCCACCCCGTCTACGGGCTCGCCTATCTGCTGCGCTACCTCGAAGAGACGACCCAATACTCCACCACCGGCCCCCCCCACGCCCCACTCACCCGCACCCTCGGCCCGCCTCGCGTCGCCCTCGCCCTCGCCCTCGACGACGCCAGCCCCAGCGCCAGCGTCGCCGCCGCCGCAGCCATCGCCGTTGGCGAAGCAGACGATCTCGTCATGCCAACCGACGTCGACACCGACGCCAACGGCGACGGTGACGCTGACGGCTCGAGTCGGCTGCGCTCGGCGGCCGGACTGTTGACGCCGCTGGCCTGCGGCGTGGCCGCGACTCCGGCCAATCTGGTCGCCAAGGAGACGGATGAGTTGAATGGTCTGTTGGACGAGATTGAAGAGATCTACTTTTACGTGCGCACGGGCCGCTTTCCGGCTCACTCGCGGT